TAGATTTTGCTGGGATGAATTTAGATTTTGCTAGGACCCCTGCTACCCACTTTTTTTAGAATCAAACAATTTGCCGGTGCTGAAGCCAAATTTGAAAACTCCCCCAAGGGTAGCAGGGCAACAACAAAATCCAAAATCTGGCAAATTTGGCATTATTTTTTTTGAAATCGAACAATGTGCCGCTACTGTGACTAAGTTTGAAACCTCCTGCAAGTGTAGCAAGAGTCCTAGCAAATTCAAAAAACGCCCTATCAAGGTATAGCAAATTTGGCTGAACAAACGGGCATGACTTTTTTTTTTAATTGGAAAATGTGCCGGTGCACCCACAAAGATGTCCCGCCATGTTTGTTTGTGGATTTACAAAATTCAGGGGCCCTAACAAAATCTAGAAAATGTTTGGTACGAGTATCGTAGTCGTAGCATAATGTGCCGGTGCTAAATTTATGGACATAATTCAGCAGTCGAATCCTGCACCTCTTCTTAACAACATATATAATAGGTAACTACCGTAATTGGTCGTACCTACCTGTAAACTGTATAATAAGTATTTTGATAAAAGTTGTTTTATGTAGGTAATCTAACAAATTAATAATCGCAGTCAGAAAATTAGTCAAGCTAAGTGCTAACTGCTAATTTTAATAAAAGATCTCTCTGGGGTGAGTTATCTTTCCGATAAAAATATCGCGGACAGCATCGAAAAAATGAATGTGTTCATTTGGTAGTCCATTTAATTTATTTTATTTTATGTTTCGTTTAAATGCCAATACAAAATCATGGAAATCATAATTTTATTGTTTTTTTTATGTGGAGCCGTGCCCACTGGAATTTAACTTGTTTTATTTTTATAATTCTTAATGTATTAAATAGGCACTGCAAAGAATCCAGCAGATATAGGTAGGTACAATAATTAAGATTCTCTGAGCTTTGGCAATGATGGTTGGGAGCATTCAGACGTTATACTATCAGAAGAAGAAAAAATGCCTGAAAGACAAGCAGTCAAAAGCCCGTGCTCGCCGGGATAGGTCATTCAAGAAAATTAATCAAACACTACTCCACCTGGCATGAACATTTGTAATTTTTTATAATCTTATAAAAATTAAAAACTGAACATTGGTAACTTTCCAATTACATTGTTTACAAAGACATTGACGTATGTTTCTATTATTTCATAACGTCTTTCATTCATTTACAACCTATTTTATCCATATCCGCGATAAACACCAAATTAAACTTAAATAGTTTAGTTCATAATTTCTTAGGATCCATATAAATCTTTTCTAAGTTTGAGTGATATTGTACAGGCAAAATACACTAATATTTATAATTATAATACTAGTGTGAAGTTGCATAGGAAAATTGATTAAATATTTGGTGATTATTAATGAACCCTGAAAGTCTTAGGAACTTAAAAAAATGTATATAATATGAATACAATGTTGCTCTGATTAGGAAGAAAAACCAGATTATATATATATTTATCACAATTTCCAGTAAATAACATTTTAAAATTTGTTTTTATATGAAATTTATCAATAATGTATATTCAATACCTATTTTAAATTAGGCACTTAGATGATATTTAGTTTATCTTGCAAACACTAAAACAAATTATCAATAACTCAGTTTTAAGAATTAGGCAGTGTGATTTAATCAAATTTTGTCACAGTGGAAAGGATTTATATATTGCTCCATTATTGGTTTAAATAAATACAATTGAATGTTACAACAAGAAACCGTATCTACCAACAAATTTCATTACACGCTTATCACCAAATTAATTAATATCAAAATTAATGATATTATTATTTTATGGAACAGTGATAGAGAGCATATAGATTAAATATATAACATATAGGTAATTATGTATTTCTGATATTAATTATCGGATCAACAATACACTTTAGAAAAATGACTCAACATAATTGCTTTATGTACATAATTAACATTATACATTAATACAATAATTTATAAATGTGTAGAAAAAAAAATCAATGTTTGTCTTAGATTCGTTAATATTTAGTATTGTGTGTTGATTACAATATAATTGTGTGATATGAATCATTAAATTTTATTGACTGTCTATTTGATGAATATTGTATATTGGTATATAATATGCCTTGAGTATTAGTTTAAATAACTTAATATTAATAAATTGCCATCAAGATGGAAAGGCTATAATTCAGTCAAATGCCAAATGCTCCATAACACACAACTGTTCAACAATACAATATAATCTAAAATGTTTATGAATACAATATATTATTAATCAACTTAACCTTTTTCGGATTTGGAAAACTATTTTTTTTCCTGCAAGTTATGATGCTGAGTTTGTGATGTAGGTATAATTGTATTCACATACAATATACATAAATATGTGCGGTGATAATATTTCTATAGAAATAAGTGCACTATTGTATTTAATTTCTTTTAAATAATATTTGATATTAGAAATATGTAGGGTTTATATACAGCTTTTTGAAAATTGGTAAAGATGATTTTACAGACAATTATGGATTGGTTTGACAAAGTTTACTTATTGTCTATTATACCAAAATACAACAATAATTATAAAAATACTAATAATAAATAAATTTAGATCAATGTTTAATTTGCATTTTTTGTGTGTAAAATACTTTCCTAAAAAACATTTTGAACACATTATAATAGTATAATATTTTATTATATATATATAATATATACAAAACATATATTATATATTATATATATTAATATATTATGTAATTCATTTTAACATTTATACTAAATCTTAAAATAATATTTATACACTTTACACTAAAGAAATAGAGAATTGTTTTGATTTTATACGCTTGAAGTCATCAAAATGCTAGATTATTAAGAATACAAGTACAGATAAATGCAACAGTACAAATTGTTCATATGACACATAATTGAATAGACATAAGTTAGTGAGATCTAAGAGATTTTAATATAACTAAGATAATAAGGTGTACATATTTTAACAGTCCAGTTTTACTGCAACGGTTAGTTTAAGAAAATATTGAAATAAGAAGAAAAATAATTGAAAATACTAAAAATATTTTTTTAACAAAATGTCATAAATCAATATGTATTGATAATATATATGATTATACATATAATAATACGTATCACTAAAATAAAATTATTGTGTAACTGTTAAAATACTGTACAAACATTATTGATTACTAATCGACAGCAATGTGAGGGGAAATATAAAATGATACCATCAGTGTACAATAATCAGACCATAAATACATTAAATAGATTAAGTAGTTGTCTAAAATAAATATTATACAAGTATAAATGCAATGTAAAATTATTGGGAAACAATTATAAAAAACGCCGGATTTGGTCATTATACATGAATTAAAGCAACACAAGCAGAACAATAAGCATTGAATGAGAACTGAACTTATTTAACACAACCTTCTAAACATTGATAGAAATTAAAAAAAAAAAATATATAAAAATACATACATACATACATACATACATACTTAAGTCAAACAAATTTTAATCAAAAATAATAAATAGTAACTTAATAATTACACATTTATGTTAATAAAATTTAAAAATTCACTTATAGACGGAGCAAAGACAAAATGTTCATTATGATTTGACGTGTTTAATAACACAATTTCTTTTAGAATATAATCTTTTAGTTAAATGTTTTTGCACTGTTTTCACATATTTTTTAACATGTTTATCAGGACGGAATCAGAAAATAAACTTATTAAAATTTGATGTAAATTCTATTTGACCACGCAAAAACATATTTTAACTTAATTATTTAATTATTATTTATAGTTTATATTAGTAGTACAAAAGTAAGAAACAAAAAATGATCTCAGTGATCTTCAATGATTTCTATTGATAAGTCAAAATGTATGAAAAAATTAATTTTCAGGTAAGATATTTCATGTTCTTATTAGATTATAAAGGCAAAATATGTATTAATTTGGTGGGAAAAATTAAGTTGATTTAAATGTCATATTTTGAATAGAATTTAATAGAAATATTAAAACAATAATGATAATATTGAATAAACTATATTGCTTTTAGTTTTGTTTCTAAAAAAAATATAATACATAAAGCAGGGCTTGAAACCGTTATCGAAATTATCAGTTACCACCGCTTTGGTGGCAACCAAATAATTGTTGATATGGTTACCGGTTTAAAACCAGTCTTGGCGTTAAGGCGGGTTTCCACTATACATGTTTGCCGTGTACACAATATTATAGGTTACCGATTAAGTGGTAACAGTTTCTAAAAAATGTCGAAACCGATAAGCGATTGAATATCTGTTTTCTAGAAACAGATGTATTACACGTAAATAGTATGATTAAATAATATTTTTAAGAAGTAATTAATTATTAAACTATCATAGGCGCTATGAGCTTATCATTATTTATGTAGCTAAAATAAATTAAACATATTATAGTTCATAAGTAAAGGCAGTCGGCACCCGGTTAATACTTATTATAGTATTATAACGTTTTATGTTAACTGAAAAATAGACACGGTAACCGGTAACAAAAATGTGTTTAAAATAACGGTAAGCGAATTTTAGGTTCCAAAATTTCTGGGAAATTACCAGTTTCAAACCCTGACATAAAGTAAAGATTTCAAAAAATAGGGAATATTAAAAAGAAGTTGTGTTATTTAATTTTTCAGACTATAAGTTCAAAATGTACATAAGCCAAGGCCGGTCTTTAGTGTTATAGTGAAATAAAATTGTTTTGATCAGCTCAACAATAAAATAACTACAATATTAATTTAACAACCTAACAAATATTAAGTCGTATAGATTTTGGTGGTCAATCGTAAACTTAAGTTTGCCTAAAATAGCAAGTAATATTAAAAACTTATGTGTCTATATATATATTATGTAGACTGTATATAAATATTATTAAAAAAGTCAATATAATTTCTACGTAATCTGTACACATTAAAACATCTTTATCACAGGATAGAGTCGCAAGTAAATAATCAGTCTACTGTCAGCATATGGCCGCTTCATCACCTTCAAGTGTCCCAGCCACTTTATTTAATTTATGACTGAGATTAATTTTTTGACAATAAGGATCCATCTCTAATGAATCCAAAATCTAGATAATAAAATAATAAATTAATAAAATACAGTTATAGTTTATACTTTTTTGGTAAAAATAAGTTGGTAGTAAATTAATGTAAATGATAGTGTACAATCCAATATATTTTAATTTCTTTAATGGTATGTTTTTAATTAGTGTTAAAAAATGTAAAAATATACGGTATTATGTACCAATATGGGGTAAAAAGACATTAATTTCAAGGTCCTGGCAAAGTTCCCTATATTTGTATGTACAAATGACTAGTTATAACTACAATATCGGCTACTACGAGATACAAATCAGTGATTATTTTATATATAATTATTATAATGTGTGTTTAAATTAATCAATCAATATTCAAAAAAAAATCAATTTTAGGTATAATAACATATTTTTAACAGTCATCATTATCGATGTTACCAACTACATTTTCATTTTTAATATATTAAGATTAGTTGGTGCAGGATATTCAGAAATGTAAATAATTTATTCCTAATTTAACATGACACTGATTAATAAATAAAAAGCTGATTGTTAAATTATTACACCTGAAAACCTATCAAATTTTAAGATTATAACAGTTTAAAAGAAGTAATTGTTATTTATTTAGAATGAAAACTTACTGCATCATTATATTTAGAAGCATAAATATACAGTTCTTTCAAAGCAGAAACTATGTGGAATTGGCCAAAATGTGAAACAGATAACTGTTGCATAGTTGTGCTTAGTTCTTGATCAGTTATTTGAGGTAATTTTTGAATGTCGCTATAAAATCTGAAGACAAAATAATAATAATAACATTTAATATTTAATTTAATTTTAAATAAGTCAGTACTATTTATTTTTACGTAATAAAATAGTTATATCATGTAACTATTAATAACACAGTACATAATATATGCACAGTTATAAATTAAAAATGATATGTACATATAATAATATTAAAATTATTAATACCTTAATACAGTCTCTCTGTACTGTGGTATATCTTTTGCAAACAGAAGTTTATTTGATGGTGAATCTTTGCCTAATCTATGATCAGAAGTTGAACATGAATCCATAAATGTTTGAGCAATAACTGACAAACAAGAGTCTACTGTAGGAGTTTTGTCAATATCAAATATGAAATCTGGATTTTTGATGAAATTCACCCAAAACCTCAATGGAAGACTGTAAATTAAACATTTAACTAATTTAGAAAAACAATTATGAAAATTAAATTAAAATGAAAAGGTTAACATTGATTTTAAACAAAAATAATAAATTGTTTAAAAATCTACTAAACAGCTAAACAACTTGTAAGTACCTGTTGGACTTCCAAGAATGAACAACTTCTGGATCAATTATATTGTATTTTTTTGCAGCATCATCAAACAAATCAAACAACCACTTAACAGCTGGCGGAAGGGTTTCATTGGCTGCTAAAATTGTTGAGAAAAAAATCCATCAACAAATTTCTGTATTGTTCCTTTTGTTGACAATAATCTAGTTAAAAATATCTCTGGAATCGCCTTATGGGTTCTTTCAGGCATTTTATTTGTATGATATTGTTGCTGTGAATCAGTAGATCTAATTAAGTGATACACAGTACCATTGGAACTAGAACCGGTCTCAATGCCTCCATTAGTTTGTTGATATTAATGGGACCAGAATAATATCCAGATGTACCTAAATGATAATTATTTTAATACATTTTGAAATTATAACGAGACTATTTCTATTAATTACAATTATGGGCACGATTGCAATACAAAGATTTATTGTATGTTGTCATGTTGGGCGGTTGGAAATAAAGGGTCCATTACTGCTGTTTCTTTTACACCATAATGTGCAAGAGTGTTTAACTTTTTCCATCCACACAAAAGTTTTTGGTAGTGACATCATAAATCTTGAAGTGTAAGGTGACCTCCCCGCCCATGGCGGCCATTCTTAATAAATAATGTATGATATATTATTAATAGAACATTAAGTAAACATATAAAATTTAAATTATTCTCACCTAAATCCACACCATAAACAGATGGTCTAAGAGAAAATGCTGTATTTTTATAAACAGCATCAAGAATTTTAGATTTAACTTGACTAATGGTATCACAATCTAAGACTTTACATTGCACTTTATCATCTAATTCATCTTGCATAACATATAAATTCTGAAATATATATATAAGAGTGGTTTATTTAGGAATAATGAAATAATCAAACAAATATTATTTGTTTAAGTTGTACTCACAACAACACGATGATCAATTTGTTCTCGAAGTAAACGGTCTTCTGATAAACTATATCTAGCATCATATGTCAATGCATCAACTGGACCTTTTTCTACTTGATGTTTAATGGCTTTATAAAGTAAAAACAAAGAAGACCCTGCATAATCTTTAAGATACTTATACATGTTGAGTGCCATCCAATTGGTTAACATTTTTTCAACAACAGATTCAGTTCTTCGTAGCATTAGATGTGGATGCTTTGACATAACTGATTTATCAATTAGTCTAAGTAATAAACTTCTTAAGACATCAGTCGCATATTCCATTTTTGTTCATTAAACAACCATAAGTAAAGAAGCAACATTGACTCTAAATATTAAAATTTAAGTTAAGTAAACCATAAAATGTATAATTAAGATAAGACGTATAAAATACTCACTTGTCGCGAATGCTAAAAGTTTTTTGAGATTCAAGAGTATCAATGAATGATAATACAAAATGTTTATTATTTATTAGCTGCTCAAATTGCATCATAGCAGCATCATAATTTGTTGTTGATCCAGCAATAACAACCTATAATAAGTATACAACATAGATTAATAAATAATAAAATATATTTTTTCGAGTTAAATATTTTTATTTCTTACCTTTGATTCATTTAAAATAGGATGATCTCGAACTCCAGGGAAAAATACTTTTAAAATATATTCATTGTGATCTAATGTAGGTATACCAGAAGATTCTAAATCTGCAGTCAAATCAGTCTATCGGTTTGTAAGTTCAGCAAAAGCTAAAATTGAAAAAATACAATTGTAAAACAATATTAAACATATTTTTTAGGGAAGAATCATTTTAATTATTTGGATTAATAGTTATTATTAATAAAAATCAATGAACTAATATAAAATTATGTTTCCAAGATAAAAAATAAATATATGTATCTTTTTAAATTAAATTAAAAACAAAATAAGAAAATGTGATTATACCTTGTTTACACTCAGACCGGACATTGCTTTCTAACGTATCCATTTGAATTTGAATACGTTTATACTCTCTTTCAGCTTGTGTGGATTTTCTTCGGTATAAAAATAATATAATGAAAAAAATTATAATTATACATAAGGCGCTCGTTACTGCACCAGCAATTGCCTCAGGTGAAAATGAATATGTCGATAACACATCGTATTGCAAGTATCCCACATTGAATCTTAGTTTTTTACCCACACGAACCTAAATATATAAATCATACAATTATATTAAGATGTATTTTAATTGAAATAATCAAGGCTTCACAGATAAATATTTAACATTATATATATATATATATATGAATACAAAATGATTGCATTATGTAAATTATAAGTTTTCAATGGTAACTATCAGAGCTAATAATAACAACTATTTATTTAACTGTTTATATGTAAGTATATCATTAAACATTTTATATTAATTACATTTCTTGTATTTGATATGTATTGACAGTATAATTGTTTCAAATTAACTGCTAACACGAGGTTTCCTAATTAACATATTTGCTAATTACTAATGAGTGAGGATTTTGAGCATTGACTATTATATTAAAATTAATTCAAAATTAAACTCACCACAACTAAAGGTAAACCTGTTTTGTAGTGGAACCAAAATCATCAATAGATTGTGGTTGATATTGAGGGGGAATACAAACTAATTGCGTATTAGCCAATGAAGTAACGTTGCATACTTCCATTCCAATAGTTACATTAACATCAGATTCATCACAAGCCAAATTCAAATTTTCGCCCTAATTAATAATGACAATAAATTATAAACATATTTAAGTGAAATAGGATGGATTAAAATGTTGTACAAAAGATAAGAAACAAAAAATAGCAGATAATTCAATTGTATTAAGATGAATTGGAATAGATACTGAAATATTATTGAGGCAAGAATAATTTAAAGGAATTAAAGAAAGTAGATATGCATATTATTAAACTGTTATATGAATTATTTCGATATTATATTTACTAACCTCTATAACTAATGTATCGCCTTTATATGACTTTATAGTATTTGAGAATTGGAAATATTTTGGATCTTGGACATATACAATTTGAGACTGTAAGACTTTCAAATGTTTTTCTAAATCTTTTACAGCTGCAACATTATCCATAATAAAACCAATTTTCAAAGTCAAATAAGAATCTAAGTATTTTCCATTAGTAGCGTGTCTTCTTCGCTTCCGATAACTTTTTATATTTTTCAAGAATTGACCGTTAGCAGAAGGGGACGGACATTCCATTTGAGCTGAATTAAGAACTATACATTCCTGTAAAAAAAATATGTATACTTAATAAGTATGTACAATTATATATTTATAGTTTTTAAAAAATATACTCACGGATTTATTGATGGGATGAATGAAGTCAGAATCAACATAAATAACCATTTCTGGTTTTTGGATAATGTCAAAATTTGTACCATGAACTGTTATCATTCTTCCTCCAGACAAAAAGCTAATTAGCGGTTTTATTTCAGCAACGGTTGGATCACTTCGATAGGTAAAAGGTTTGGCCAATGTTCTATTGGAACCATCAATGATTAAATGCATTGAATTTACAGTCAGAGGTCTATTCGCAGCTGAAGTCATACAAGTAAGCCTTGTGCTTGAAGCATGAGTTGTATTGACTGTACAAGGGAAATTGTCGAGGAATGCAGTCACTGAGCTTCCAATGTTTAAATTATGTCCACTAATGGCTAAAAGTGTACCACCACTCTGGGGTCCCATACTAGGAGTCACTTTGTCAAGCTTAACACTCTGTAATATATAATATGCAATAAGTATTGTACAAATTAATATAAATTATATTTTTTAACAACTATACCTTATAATTGAAATGTACAGATGATTCAGTCAGACCAGCATTATTTCCAACCACAATAGAAGCAAATTTTTCAGAATTTGATGGTCCAGTCTTACAAACAATCTTTACAGATACTTCATAATCAACTAAATGACACAAAATACCACCTATATGGATTTTGCCCCAAACATCTTCTCTATTTAGACCTAAATTACTTCCTTCAATAGTGACCATTGTACCGCCTTCAATTGGTCCACTAAGAGGTTTTATCTAAAAAATAATTTAACATATTAACACATATAAAAAATAAACCGTAAAATTTTTAATACCATGTCTATTCTTGGTTTTGGACATTCGTTGCTAGATGATTCTGAGCAGGTTTCTGAATACACACAAGTACTTAAGCACCAAGTACAGTGGTATTTGCGATTTCGTGTAACACATAATGAACAGTCAGGATGTTCTCTATGAGATCCAAGAATATCACATTTATATAATGTCACATTTATCGTATCAACATGATGGTTTCTGTTCCAAACCATACTGACCATTGCATCATATTCTCCAGAATTAGTTTCATATGAGTACTGAATTAAATAACATAAATATAGATAATTAATAAGTCAATCAGTTAAAACAGTGTCTTAAATCACAAAAAAAATATAAATTTACAGTAGTTTTATCACAGACGATATACTTTTCTTCTACCCTTGCAGGAACCATTAGTTTGGCTCCTTCAATGTTAATTATACATTGAAAACCTGTATGTCCAACTTGAGGGTTAGGTAAATTTTCTACTTGTAAAACTATTTCTTTAGGAACACCATTAGGCAGTAATATTTTTTGAGCTGGTTGAACAAACCGTGGGCAAAACATGGCACCGTGGCTTTTAAGACGAGTGGGGTTCTGAAATAAAAAATGTAGGTAATTAGTAATAAATAAACAAATAAATGTTGAAAATTTTAACTTACATTTTCACCACTGATAATAATACGCTGACAACTGGATACATTATTTGTACATTTATTCTCGTAGACACACCAATTACAGGCCCATTGGGATTTAACGCACTCCATGCATCTGGTATGAGCTGAACAATCATAGTAAGCAAAATTTCTGCTTACAAAGTCTTTATTTGTTTCAGAAGACCTCACTGACAAAGACACATAAATATGATCTTGGTTTTTTGGAATTTTTGGACGTGATTGAATTGAAGGAGTTGAGCATTGTAATCCAAATTGTGTAACAACTGCATCTAATGGATCACTTTTGCCAAAAACACAACGATATTTTGCTCCGACAGGCAATTCTGGTAAGGTTTTGATTGCAAGTTGTAACTGGAACAATAAAATAAAATAAACAAACAATACATTCCGTCCTACGTTATATTTAAATTATTATTAAAATAATAATTTGAAGTTTTTAAATATAATAACAATTTTTTTAATTTCCAACAACAGATAAGTACAACAATTACCTTTGACATTTGGTGAATTGGAATTCGATCAGGGTTTATTTGTTCGAAATCAATACATTGTTGACCAGTACCAAGTGATAACCATCGTGGTGAACTGTGGCTTGCTTTTTGACAAGTACTTCTAACAGTACACCTAATAGTTGGATTCATAAAATATAAAAAATATGAATAACTAATAATTCATTTAATTATTTAGAGTTAATAATATAATTAAATAATATATGTATTTATTATTTTATACATGGATACTGGTATTGTTTTGTTCAAGATATAATATGGTACTAGTCTAGTTGACCCCCTCCAAGAAAAATATTCCCCCCACCACTCAGGTTTAGTTGATTCCCGCCACTTAAATCTCTCATGTTTTCGAAGTTCTAGTCATTCGGTATAGAATATATTATATACTGCAGATAAAAAGGTACGAAATCACACACGTTAGGTATTGCCGTATTGGTATGTAATTCACTAATCAGATACTTCCTAGATTCTTATTTGTCAGAGTTTATGTAGCGAAGTAAATTAAACGGCCGAGATTCATTTAATGACATTTTGAAGGACATAGCAGAATTTTGGCCACCTGCATAATTTCCTATTATTTTCTGCATTATTATTTATATAAATTATATGTGAATGATATATATTTTTTTACTATTTATTTATTCATATATGATATACATTCTTTATCTATTTTTATTGTGGTGTATAATTTTTTTACGATTTATTTATTCATATATATTATGTATATATAAATACCGAAAGAATGATAAATGGTTTAAATCATTTTCTTATTTTTTTTATGAAATATTATATTATAATATTATGTAATTATATTTTAAATTATTGATTATTGACTATAGAAAATCGAAAACACGAGAGATTTAAGTTGCGGGCGTCAACTAAACCTGAGTGGCGGGGGAATATTTTATTAGCGGGGATCAACTAGACCAGTATCTATAATATATTAAAATTATAAAATGAATGTTCTGCAATTAATTATGTAAGATATTTGAAATATTTATAACTGACTTAATTTTTCTAAAGTAAATACTATATAATATAATAATATATATTATACAATATACATACATACAAAAATATACCTAAGAACAAGTTCATGATAATTATATTATGGACATACAATTTTTTGAATTTTTCAAATAGTATTTCAATAATGAACGTTTAGGGTTTTATATATTAAATTATACATTTATCAT